GYYYAAAKAKKAKAACATCACATTATATCAACAATGTGACACACTGTGGTGTTTATAAAAAACCTCTGCATAGAGCAGATTTATTAGCCAGAGGAGTAAGTGGGTTTAGGGGGGCCAGAAGAATRGAGTCCCAAAACCAGCGCAGCCATAGTTCAAAATATGGTTAACTGTTCATTCTGTGTGGTCCTCAGCCTGCTCCAGGAACCAGATCACAGATGGGTGTGAGGGGGGGAGGTGTGGTGTCAGAGCCTCAGTTGACTTCATCATCCAGGAAGAATTTAATCCAACAGCTCAAGGCCATGTAGGAGATCCAGATTCTGTAATCAGTTGTTTTGGGAACAGAAGAGTCAGGCAGACAATAACAGTTTTCCATCTGCTTCAACGTCTGCTGCTACATCAAGGACAAAGTGCCTGGTCTGACAGAGACCTCCAGAGTTCAACCAGATGTTACCAATCGAACACAGTTTCCCAGAGTCCAGTTCTCTGCTTCAGAGTCCAGTCTCTGATCCAGCCTGCATGGCCTCATCAGGAGCCAGACAGATAAGGGATGGGGAGGGAGGGGGGAGGATCGAGGCTGCCACCCACGTATCTTCGTCAGCGGGTTTTCTTATCAGCCTGTGCCCAAGGACACATCTGTGGGCATCCAGTGATGAAAAAAAAAGAAATTCTTTAGAACAACAGCAGAAAAACTTTTCACTGCCGTTTTGAGTCGTTAACTGTGTCTCTGTGTTGCAAAAAATMCCAAATATTDCAGATTAAWTACCATCTCACCTCTCTCCATATGAGCCAGATGTTGCCCTCACTCCTCGCTCCACTGAGCTGTGATCCTAGTCAGGAGCACATCCAGTTTGTGATTCAGTTCTCCCATAGTTTGAGTCTGTGTGTTCACCGGACGGGAGGTTCCATCCACGGACACAGACAGCTTCTGACAAGACTGAATCACCGTCAGAGTCAGTCTCATTTTCTGATAAACCAGAACTCCTCCACAGCCGAACAGCAGGAATCTGATTATCATGAAGCCAAATATAAAAACATCTTCCACATCCTCAATGGACAGATGTGCCAGGCAGATCAAATTCCAACCCCCCCCCAGGCTGAAACTCGCCCTGCAGCCACCATACCAGAGGGGCAGGAGCGCTCCCKAKGCTCCAATCTCAAGGTGGAGAAAATGGTGTCAACTGCATTCAGAGACCAGTTGACCAGATCCATAATTCCAGTTGTCGAATGATAYGAAGGAGGAAGACTTGATTCAACACAGCAGCAAAGTGGGAACTGGAGGGAGGTGCAGGAGGAAGAGSAGAAGCGTTCGTCTCCTTCAAGAGCCAAGCAGAAAAAACCAGTCAGAACAGTAATGTTTAAACCAGGCTAGGGAGTTTTCAGAGTCCTGTGTCTCTTAATCTGTCTAGCAGTAGTTTATGGTTCACAGACTCAACAGCTTTTGATAAATCAATAAATGCAGCTGGACAGTACTGTTTGTTGTCAGTGGTGCAGGTAYTGTCATTATGGACTTTGTGTGTAGCAGTGATGCAGCTATGACCAGATCTGAAGCCAGACTGAAACTTATTAATAACTGTTAGTCTCCAAATGGTGCTGGATTTGATTGTTGACCTGCTTCTCTAATATTTTCGAGAGYCYGGGCAGGATGGAGATGGGTCTGTAGCATTTTACGTTTGAGTTGTGACCTCCTTTAAAAAGTGGGGTGATGGCAGCAGACGTCCAGTCCAGGGGGAGCTCAGCTGTCTGAAGTGAGAGATTAAAATACAAGTGATAGGCGCTGAAATTAAATGAGCTGCTAATTTTAAAAAATAGGTATGTAATGCATCGAGACCAGCTGATTTGTGAGTGTCCAGGCTGAGCAGTTCAGAACCTCAGACTACTGTATAGGCTGAAATGAGAAACGGGGGCAGTCTGAGGCAGATGAGTGGATGATAGATGATTAACAGAAGTAGAAATAGGAGCACCAGTGCTGTCCTTACATGAACAACCTGCCTGAGTAAAGTGTTTGTTGAAATGTTTTACCATTTTTGATTTGTCTGGGATGACAATCATCATATTTAATAACAGGGGCAGTTGAGAGGACATATTTTTGTTTTCCATTGTTCTGATATTGTTCCAAAATGTTTGAGGATTGTGGCCATTGGCTGTTAGTTGCTGTTTGAAATAGTTTGARCTTGCCTGTCTAKTAGATTGGYTACGTTTATTTCTTAAAGTCTTGTATGATTACCAGTCACTTGCTTTGTTAGAGGCTTTAGCTCGATGCCACAGAGTCTGTTTAGTYTGAGTTCAGACAGGTCAGTAAGTTCTGAACCAGGGGATAATGACATTTTTTACTCTAATCTTTTTGAAGGGGGCGTGTTTGTTCAAAACGGCAGTTAACGAGGTTCTGAAATATGACCAAGCATCTTGGACCTCTGGTATCATACCAACCCTGTGCCAGGTCACACAAGAAAGCTTGTGCATTGAGGTTTTTTAGAAAACATTTGATCAGCGGAGGGTTTCTTGGAACAGTGTCATTACGAACACAGCCTATATCACAATGACCACTAAGACTTTGGCAGAAAACACCAGATGTATATCTTTTTGGCCTGTTAGTGAGGATAATATCAATTAATGTACCAGAGTCCATGGTCTTGTTTTGTATCTGGTAGGGYCCTACACAATTTGAGACAGGTTTAATTCATCTAATAGTAATTGAAAGAATGATGGAGGGTCAAACGTGTCATAATTCAGGTCACCTAACAAGACAAACTCAGCAGCGCATTCTCATGCCCCCCGCGTCAACATACTGATGCTTGGTCAGCCGTCTGCGTCAACTTTCATACACACCAGGTACCCCCCGCGTGTCCGTTCTTTACGAGATGAGGCGGAGGACGAGCGCATTGTCAAATTTTTTTTACAAGAGTAGGAAATGCGTGAGACCAACCTTCCCAGACCCTAAATTTAACTTCTATTAACCTTATCCATGACCACAGACCCTAAAATTAACCATTAACCCTGATCCCTCATATTAACCATTTTTTAAATGTAGAGAATTCACAAGAACTAACTGTCACAGAGCCTACATTTAACCTACAGTATATTAGCTATATACAGCCTATCCCTGACCCCAATATCTCAAATTAACCATTAATCCTGATCCCTCATGTTAACCTCAGACCCCCGACCCAAAGACCCCTAAGTGATGCAACCCAGAAAAGCTGCGGGCGGCAAWGACGGATGTGRGGGGGGTACCCGACGCGTCAAAACTGGACGCAGASYCTCCCTGCCTAAGCGTCAATGTGTTGACGAGTCRGACATGAGAATGTGTTAAACTCAGAGGATATATGAGGGGCAATTAATTCACTTAAAGACACTAAGGCACAGGCTAGAGCTGAGGGTGGTCTATTWCAACCAGCAACAGTTACAAAGACGTTTTTAGATAAKGTGACTTTTAGTAGTTCAAACTGTTTGGCAACAGATTTTGAGGCAATTATTAAACATTGAAAATGATCTTTACTGCAAAAATCCCACCCCCCACCACCACCACCACCACCACCATTGGAGGTTCTGTCAATA